AGTATTCTAAAATATTTAGAAAGACATTCCATGATCATGGATTGGAAGAATTAATATTGCTAAAACATTCACACTACCCAAAGCCATCTACAGAGTCAATGCAATCCCTATCAGAACTCCAATGGCATTTTTCACAGAAATAGAAAAAAAAATCCTAAAATTTGTATGGAACCAAAAAAGACCCCAAATAGCCAAAGCACTCCTGAGAAAGAAGATCAAAGCTGGAGGTGTCATGATTCCTGACTTCAAACTATATTACAAAGCTATAGTAATCAAAACAGTACGGTATTGGCATAAAAACAGACACATAGATCAATGGACCAGAATAGAAAGCCCAGAAATAAACCCACGCATACTTGGTCAATTAATTTACGACAAAGGAGCCAAGGATATACAATGGGAAAGGACAGTCTCTTTAATAAACTGTTGGGAAAACTGGACAGCCACAGGCAAGAATGAAACTGGACCAGTATCCTACACCACACACAAAAATTAACTCAAAATGGATTCAAGGCTTGAACTTAAGACCTAGACTCCTAGAAGAAACTCCTAGAAGAAAACATAGGGGGTAAGCTCCTTGACATTGGTCTCGGTGATGATTTTTTGGATTTGACACCAAAAGCAAAGGCAACAAAAGCAAAACCAAATAAGTGGGGCTACATCAAACAAAAGCTTCTGTACAGCCAAGGAAATCATCAACAAAGTGAAAAGGCAACCTACTGAACAGGAGAAAATATTTGCAAATCATATATCTGATAAGCAGATAATATCCAAAATATATAAAGAACTCATACAACTCAATAGCAAATGAACAAACAATTTGATTTAAAAATGGGCAGAAGAGCTTCCAGGTGGGTGAACATGTGGAGATTTTGGGAGAGTGGTATGCTCGGAGAGGGCACAGAAGCCCTGTGTACTTTCCCCATCCCTTGCCCTACGAATCTCTTCCATCTGACTGTTCCTGAGTTATGTCCTTTTATAATAAACCAGTGATCTAGTAAGTAAAATGTTTCTCTGAGTTCAAAAAATTGGGGGGGCCAGCCTGGTGGCATAGTGGTTAAGTTCGTGCACTCCACTTTGGTGGCCTGGGGTTCTCAGGTTCAAATCCCAGGCACAGACATACGCAACGCTCATCAAGCCATGCTGTGGCAGGCGTCCCACATATAAAGTAGAGGAAGATGGGCACGGATGTTAGCCCAGGGCCAATCTTTCTCAGCAAAAAGAGGAGGATTGGCAACAAACATTAGCTCAGGGCTAATCTTCCTCAACAAAAAAAAAAGGGTGAGAATCTGAAAAGACATTTTCCAAAGAAGACATAAGATGGCCAGTGGGCACATGAAAAGCTGCTCAACATCACTAACCATCAGGGAAATGCAAATCAAAACCACCATGAGATATCACCTCGCACTTGTTAAAGAAGCTATTATCAAAAAGACAAGAAATAACAAGTGTTGACAAGGATGGGGAGAAAAGGGAACCCTTGTGCACTGTTGCTGGGAATGTAAATTGGTGCAGCCACTATGGAAAACAGTATAGAGGGTCCTCAAAAACTTAAAAATATAACTACTATATGATCCGGCAATTCCACTTCTGGGTATTTATCTGAACAAAACAAAAACACTAACTTGGAAAAGACATATGCACCCCATGTTCATTGCAGCATTATTCACAATAGCCAAGATATGGAAACAACCTGAGTGTCTATCAATGGATGAATAGATAAAGAAGATGTGATATACCTACACAAGAGAATATTATTCAGCCCTAAAAAGGAAGGAAATCTTGCCATTTGCAACAACATGGATGGACCTTGAGGGCATTATGCTAAGCGACAGAGAAAGACAAATACCATACGATCTCACTTATATGTGGAACCAAAAATAATAATAATAATAACCCTGAACTCATAGATACAGAGAGAACAAACAGATGGGTGGTTGCCAGTGGTGGTGGGGGGTGAAATGGGTGAAGGGGATCAAAAGGTACAAAATTCTGGTTATAAAATGAATAAGTCCTGAGGATGTCATGTACAGCATGGTGACTACAGTTAATAATACTGTATCGTAAAAACAACAAAAAAACTATTTTAGAACAGTTTTATATTTACAGAAAATTCGTGAAGCTAGCAGAGTTTCCATAAACCCACCTGGTTTCCTGTATCACTAACGTTTTGGTTAGAATGATACATTTGTTACAATTAATGAACCAATACTGATACATTAGTATTAACTGAATAAGCCACAGTTTACTCAGATTTCCTCTTCCTGTCCCAGGATCCCACGTGACATTTAGTCGTTGGATCTCCTTAGGCTGCTCTTGGCTCTAACGGTTTTTCAGACTTTCTGTGCCTTTGATGACCTTGACAGTTGTGACAAGTACTGGCAGGTATTTTGTAGAGTGTCCCCTGCTGGAATTTTCTGGTGCTTTTCTCATGGGTAGAGGTAGGGGTTGCAGGTTTTGGGGAGGAAGACAGAGCTGAAGTGCCCTTCTGCCACCTGTGTCCAGGGCTCACACTGTCACCATGACTCACCACTGTTGGCGTTGACCGCGATCACGTGGTGCAGGGTGTCTGTGAGGTTTCTCACTGCAAGGTTGCGCCCCGACCTCATTCTGCACTTTCACACGGCAGTCACCAGGCCCAGCCCAGGCCACATGGGGAGGGGAGTGTTATGCCCCCCAGGGTCTTCCCTCCACTTTCACCCAGCACTGTCCTGTGGGACAACCCCTGCCCTGAGCGCGCCCCCTACCCCTCCCTCCACCGCCCCCACCGAGGGCCCCACTGTAGTAAACACCCCCTAGATCTTTTTCCTCATCCTTCTCCTTCACCCCTACCCTGGACGCCACCCCCCAGCTCCTGAAGCCCCCACGGAACTCCCTCCCCCTCCCCGGCCCTCCTTGAGCCCCGCCTCCACCTCAGCCCCGCCCCAGAGCGCCCCGCCCGAACCCCACCCCACTGAGCTCCCCACCCTGACCTGAACCCCCCACGCCTAACTGCACCCCTCACTCAGCACCCGCTTCCTGAACCCCCTAGCACCGCCCCCCCAGCCCCCTCCTGTACTGAGTTCTTAACCCCACCCCACCCTGAGGGCTCTTCTCCCCCCTCACCCTGACTCCCTACCCCCCCCCCCAGCAAGCCCCCCGCCACGAGCGCCTCGTCCTCCCACCCAATACCCTCTCTCGGGGAGGGCTTCCCTGCCCCCTCCTCCCCGCCCCTCCCCGCCCCCGCACGTCACGCAAGGACCCTGCGCACCCCCCACCCCCAGTGCTCCTCAGCCACCCACTCCCCTGGGCCCCTAGTCCGTCCACCTGACCCCTTTCCTGCTGGTTTCTGGGGGGCCCCTTCCCCTGGTTCCATGGCCCTCTCCTCCCCGGGGACCCTGATCCTGGAGACCCTGGATGGCTCGGACCCAGCCCGGCAGCTGGAGGAGGAGCGGTGGCAGCCGTCCTGTGAAATCCGTGAGACCCTTTCTCCTTCTCCCCAGGCTACCGCCTTTGAGGGTGTGACCAGGAGAGACCACAGGCTGGGGTCTGGGGACCCTGTGGGAGGAGGGAGCATGGGGGTGTCTGAGGGACCCACAGCTGTGGGTGGACACAGATGGAGGCAGGTGCTTCTGTAGGTGGTGGCCCCTCTGCCCCTGGGGAGACCCCCTGCCCTCCCATTTGTGGGCAGAAGCCCACCTGAGCCAACACTGTGGTGGGGGTCCGAGCAGGGAGGGACATGCCACAGGCGACACAGCAAGCCCCCTCTCAAGATTGGCACTCACCACGGGTCTTCCTGCGCCTTGATCTGGGTCTGGAGGGGTGAGTGTCACTGTGGGGGGTGGGTGGTCTGCTCCGCCCCTCATGCTAAGGGCCAGGGGCTCCCAGGCAGAAGCTGACCAGAGATTTCCTCCTTTGCTTATGCATGTCCTGTCTCCTGGCGTGGCATCCCGTGGTGGCTGCCCCAGTTCTGGACCCAGAGGAAGAGCCCAGCATGGACATCATCCTGGTGGGCTCCAGCGAGCTGTCTTCCCCGCCTTCACCAGGGCCCCCCCGAGGTGAGGGCTCATGCAAGTCTTGGCCCCATCACTCAGGACGCTAGCTCCAGGCCTGGGCAACGTCTGGGGTTCCAGGTTTTGTGTGGATGCTCGGGCAGGGGTACAAGGGCCCCAGCCAGGGCTTCCCCCCAAGCTCGGATGTTTAATGTGTCAGGAAAGGTGGAGGGGAGGGGGCGGTGGGGGTCCTCTGGCTCCTGTGACTTCAGAAGCTCAACCTGGGACGCTCACTTCTAGGCCATGTTTAAATTAGAGGTAGGCAGAAGAAGGAAGGGTCCACTTCTTATTTTCTTTTCCAGATCTTATTGCATATGAAGTCAAGGTTAACCAGCGAGACATAGAAGGTGAGTGACTGTACACCTGCCCATGCCCAGGGAAAGGGGAAAGGCTTGCTGCAGCCTCATGCAGTCGTCCATCCTGAGAAGAAGGCAGTGAACACCACTGGTGCAGTGCTTGTCTCCCTCCACCAGCCCCAAGGCCCTGGAGACTTCATCTAAGGTGTCAGTTCAGCGTCTTTAGTATATTCACAGAGTTGTGCACCCATCACCACAGTCTGATTTTAGGACACTTTCATTACCCCAAAAAGAAACCCCATACCCATTAACAGTCACTCCCCATCCCTCACCCTCCCCTTAAGCATTAGGTAACCATGATTCTGCTTTCTTGATGGATGGATTTGCCTGTTCGGGATCCCTCGTGTTTCCATATGCAATTTAGGATCAGCTTGTCAATTTCTGCAAAAAAAAAATCCGGCTGGGGTTTTGAGAGGGATCTGTAGACCAATCTGGGGAGGCTCCCCATTTTAACACTATTCAGAGCTCTGATCCATGAACGTGGGATACCTTTCCATTTATTTAGATCTTTAATTTCTTTCAACGACGTTTTGTGGTTTTCCGTGTGCGGGTCTTGCACTTTGTTAAATTTATTCCTTAGTCTGTCGCTCTGGTTGACGTTGTCATGACACGTTGCACTTTGGATGTCCCCTTAGACATGTGCATCTGCTGTGGAAGCTTCCAGGTGTACACACAGCACCCTCTGTTTGAGGGAGGGATGTGCGCTCCCTGCAAGGTAAGCAGGGAGGTGAGGGGGGTGGCTCCTGGAGGCCGGGAGCAGAGGAGGCACTAGCTGGGCTCTGCTCTCCCCAAGGACAGGTTCCTGGATTGCCTCTTCTTGTACGATGACGACGGGAACCAGTCCTACTGCTCCATCTGCTGCTCCGGAGAAACGCTGCTCATCTGCGAAAACCCGGACTGCACCCGGTGAGGCGAGGGCCCGGGGTGGGGGTTGGGGTGAGGGCCAGAGGAGCCCCTGCCCACGAGCCTAGGAAACTCCCATCCTTCTCAGCCACACATCCCGGGTGCGGAGGGATTTCCCTACAAAAGGATGACATTCGCCAAAGCTTTCCATTTCCATCTCAAATATCTCATTTGGTGCAGACCCTTGACAAAAGATTTGCATTTCCAATTTTTCTTTCATTATTATTATCACCAAGACATAGCTGTTCCCTGAATTGTTACGTAGGGCAGTGATGGAAACCCCGCACCCCTGGGGCCACTGGTCACAGCAGGAGACAGGCAAGGGTATGTTGGTTCCTTGTTGCATGCCAACGTGAGCTCCATCCATGGTCCCCTCCCTCAGCCGTTCTGGACCATCCTCGTATTTACAGCTCCCCCCTCCCCAAACCCTCCCCCACCAGCTGGAGCTCCTGCGCTTGGTTTACTGGGAGACCCTAACTGTTTCTGCAGGCACTGGAGTTTGGGCAAGACAGGTGGCTTAGGGGGTTCTTTGAAATCTGTCGTTGTCCATGAATCCCCCACTGTCTTCTGCAGACCACTTGGTTCCTGTGGCTCTAGGTCCCTAAGAGGGACTGGTCCCTGGGTCCACAGCCTTGCCTTCCCACCACGCAGAGTGCAGAGACCACAGGGCCAACTTTGTATTTGCACCTGAGCCCGAGTGTGCTTCATCGATGGCTTGCTCCGAAGCAAGGAACAGGCTTTCCTCTGCCTGCAGACCTACCCTCTGAGATTCCACCTGATGGCCGAGGGAACGTCATTTCAGTCACTGTGGTTTTCTGTTTGACTCTAGGTGCTATTGTTTCGAGTGTGTTGACACCCTGGTCAGCCCCGGGACCTCAGAGAAAGTTCAAGCCATGAGTAACTGGGTGTGCTTCCTGTGCCTGCCTTTCCCCCGCAGCGGGCTGCTGCAGAGGAGGAGGAAGTGGCGGGGCTGGCTGAAGGCCTTCTACGACCAGGAGGCGGTAAGGAGCCGCGCAGCTCCAGGGACAGACGGATGTGCAGCGGCCCTAACTTTGTTGGTTTTCTCTGGTTACTGTTGCAAAATGCCCATCTGCTCTGATTCGTGGTGAAGTTAGAGGCTTTTAAGCAAATGCACATTTCTCCTTTTCCTTTTTGATAACAGGTTCCACTACAGACCATAGATGGTCTATTTTTTAAAAATTATTTTAGCATGGCAGTTCTGTTTCTTCCAAGCCTGGGAAGGAGGCATCTGTAGCAGGCGAGAGAGGGGCTCAGCCGAGGTGTGCTTCTAAGTCCAGCAAGTGGGAGCAAACGCTGGGGCAGAGGCACAGACATGGGACCTCTCGAGGGTCAGGGGGCTAGGCAGGGGCTGTGGCCTCATCAAAGGGGGTTGAACTGTGTCCCCCCCAAGGACACATTCAAGTCCTAACCCTGCTACCTGTGACTGTGACCTATTTTGGAAACAGAGTCTTTGCAGATGTAATTTAGATAAGGATCTCAGGATGACATCCTGGCTGAGGATGACCTGAGAGGCAGACCTCTGTCTGCAGGTGCCTTTATGGTCTCTTTGGAAAACAAGGCACGTGTTGCTCTTTATAGAGCCTTCTTTTGGGTACATGCAGTGGCAGCAACCTTCCATCTCAATGTAGAAAGACCCCATGCTGGCAAGCTGCAGGAGGATTTTTACTCAGAACGAAAATGAAGTTGATACTCAGAAATGTTATTGATGCTAGACCAGTGCTGGAGTGTCGGGAGGGGATGCGCTCGGCTCCTATGGCAAAGGACGCAGGGAGCAAGGACGGGTGTCCCAGAGTGTCCATCAGAGCTCACCTCTGCTAGGACCCTCCACCCTCCTCACCTGCCCACCTCCTGCAGGCAGCCCAGGACCACTGCCTTCCCCAAATTCATGGGCTCATTTACTCACTGTCCGTGCTGGGCGCTGTCCCATCTGCTCGAACCCCGGTGCGGGCAGCCCCCTGCTCAGGCCAGGTCCCCCACAGTCGGCAGCTCCATGCCCTGCTTGCCAGTGGCCAGACACCACCCAAGTGCAACCTCCTGGGGGGCAGGGGGCTCTGAGGGTGCTTTACAAATGAAACAACCCAGTCTCTGTCCCAGAAGGGGAGGGCGGGTGCTCTCCACTAGCCTCCCTGTGACCTGTGTCCTCAGTGGGGCTCCTTCGAGGCTGAACTTGAGGTGCTGCCTCTCGGCCCAGCAGGTCCCAGTCTACGGCCTGGGAAAGGCCTCACACTGGCAGCTTGGGGGGACTGGCAGCTTGGGGGGGACTGGCAGCTTGGGGCCCACGTTCGGAGCCCCCAGTGGGGAAGGAGAGGAACTGGGTGAATCCCACTCTTGTGCATATTCAGAGTCCCCCAGATGTGAGACTCTACCCAAGAAATACAAGGGAAGTGTTTCCTCCGGGATAGAATTATGTTCCTTCACAGTCAGAAAATCCCTGCACCTGCCTTTCCGTTGCTGGAGGTGGCCGAGGTCGGGGTCAGGGTGGGAGACCTCGGCCTGGGGGGCGGACGGAGTCGTCATGGGGGTGGAGGGGAGGGGCGGGGTGATCAGGGTGGGGCCAGCGGCCTCTGCAGGTGTGCCTCAGTTGTCCCCTTCATCCAGGAGAGATGCCTCTGCAGGGCAAGAAAGAATGTTCCCTGTGACTGACGGCTCTGTCACCAGGGAGTCGTCAGAATGTCCTTTTTTTTTCAAATTTGGAGGAGAGTCCCCTTGAGATGTATAAAACTGTGCCTGTGTGGAAAAGAGAGCCAGTCCGGGTACTGTCCCTTTTTGGTGACATCAAGAAAGGTGAGTGCAGTGACGTCCAGAGGATTCACAGTGGAAGATGCCCAGAGCCAGACCCACAAGGCACACGATGTGTGTGGGGGACCAGAATGTCCCCAGGGTCTCGCTCGCTGAGCGTCTGGGGCTGAGGGCTGAGCACTGAAATGACCAGCATTTTCAGGATGCAGGGAGGGGGGAGGGTGCAGGAGCGCCTAGACCACACTCCTTTAGAAGAGACGCCGTGGGGGAAAGTGCATCACGTAAGCAGGATGGTAGGTGTGAAAGGCGTTAACGAGGCCACGGGCTGGCTCTCTGCCCAGGCTCTCTGCCTGGGATGGCCCTGTGCATGGCCACCTAACACCAAGGTCCACTTTAGATTCCTCCACACACCTGACCACCTTGCAGGGAGGCCCTGCCCCTCCTAGGGGTCCCTGCACCCTCCTCTCCACCCAAATATCCCGGCTCACCTGGCCGGCCACGTTCCAGCCTTACCTGGGGGTTCTGCCCCTTCTGGACCCTGCGCTGAGCCCCACCTGCTGGTGCCTTTGGAAATCCTATGGATTCTTCTGGTCCCAGCAGACATAAGAAGAAGAATCCGTGAAAATGCTGCTTAGTCTCCTGCCAAATGGAATCTGGGGATCCGCCCACTTCCAGCACTGTGCTGTGTGCTTGGTGTAGTATCACCGTGGCCTCACATGAAGCCATGTCAGGGATGCGGGGCCTGAAACCCGCACAGAGTGGGTGCAACTTCCCAGGTCATGCTGCTGGGGGTGCTGAAGGAACCCCAGAGTCACGGCCCGAGGCCGCCCAGCCTTCGTCTCCCCGCCCAGACCATGAGTCCCTTAGTCGGACTTGTAAGATCCTTTCTGGGCTTGTCTTCCTTCCTCCAGGCTGCAGACTCTCCCAGGCCAACACAGGGCTCCTGCCGCCCACACTCTTCTCACACAGCCTGGCTGGGTGACATCAGCGTGGACTCCACTGCCCGGCAGATTTCCTAACCCAGAGCACGACACTGCAGCCCAGGAAGGCCTGGTTTTGCAACAAATGGCTTGACTTTGTTAAATTGCTCCTCAGTGGAGTTTGCTTACTTAGCTTGTGACGCAACACATGTCTCCATCCTTAGTCCTGTCATGTCGTTAGGACGATAAAGTTTGCTCTTCGATGACAGGTGTGCTTTCTGATCAGTCGTCGGCCTTTTGATTCCATGTGAAAATCAACACTGGCCCTTCTGTGTCCTTGCTTCTGTCCACCCAGAGCTAACGAGTTTGGGCTTTTTGGAAAACGGTTCTGACCCAGGAAGACTGAAACATTTGGATGATGTCACCAACACAGTGAGGAGGGACGTAAGTACTGCTCGTGTTCCTCCAGACGCCAGGGTAAGAGCAGGTGCGAGAGACCCGTCTGGGGGTCCGTCGTGGATTGGGGGTGGCAGGGGGAGGAGGCTGGGGAGGGGCAGCTGCACAGCTCTGTTCCCAGCCAGGCCAATGTGGGGGGTCTCGCAGGAATTAGCACCCCACTGGCACAGCCGCTGGCTGTCACCCCACAGTGGAAGAGATGACAGGGGCATTTTTGTGGCCCCCACGCTGCCCACAGCCCAGGGCAGAGCCATCAGCCAAACCTGTCCAGCTCGTTGGATTCCAAGGGCCAGTCCCACCCCCTGGATTGGTGCTGCCCAGAGAAGGGGTCAGCCCCCCACCCTCTCTCTAAAGTAAAAGTGCTGAGTCTTGAACTAAACATCTGCTGATGAAACATCCTCCGGACACTGCAACAAAATGTTCCGGTTCCCTCGAAGGCTACTTCCTGCTGCCCCGGGATGGTGGCCTTGGAGGAAGTGCCTAAAAATGATTCGCAAGCACCCAGCTTAGCCACGAGCCCCTCAGCACAGATGGCAAAGGGCCAAGAATCTTCGTCCTGGGGGCCTTGGGGCAGGGGGACCCTGATCTCTTGCCCCCATGCCAGGACACAGCCTCTCACACAAGGAGAGAAGATTAAAGCCCATCGTCCTGAGAGCCTGACAAACATGGGCAGAGGGTCTGGGGGTACCAGGAGCGCTTGCCATCGAAGGGGCAGCAGCAAGGAAAAGGCCAATGTGGGGGTCTGCTCCGCCTCCCCCCACCCCCCGCCGTGTACCTGCCAGGGCCTCACAGCTCTGCTGCTCGTCTGGCCGGGGAGCCTGTGTCCGAGGGGCTAGCCCTCCTCTCTGGTGGCCATCTAGCTCCATCACCCCCTCCGGAGGTCTCCCCTGCCTTGAGGCCCAGGACAGGCCTCTTTGTGGGGGAGGGTGCACCTCACATGGCCCTTGGACCTGAACCCCATACCCCATGAACTTCATTACCGTGGGCTTCGCCCAGGACCCCACGTCCCACCCTTGTCCCGACCCCTTCAGACGCCCCACCATGGAGCATCTCTGGAGCCCGCGTTCTTGTCCCAGACCCTCAGGGCAGGAGGCCTCCCTCTCAGGGCTGGACGTTGGAGACAGGGTGCACGACGGGGACAAGAGGCCCGCACACATGGCTGGGCTGCAGGAACATGTCAGACAGGGGATTTCCCTGGATGTCCTGGGGTGACAGTGTAATGGAGCTGTTGCGTGAGAGCTGTTCTCGCTCGGCAGGGAAGATTATAGCCGAGCTGTTAACCTCCAGCTGCTGCTGTCATGTCAGGGCACGTCTTGTATTTTCCAGCAACACACACAAAACCACGAGAATCCTTGGGGATCATTGTGTCTTCCTCCTAGGAGCGGTGCTGTAAGGGCACCATCTGGAATCAGCTGATTCTGAGTGCTCCGAGGAGGGCCAGCCTCTCCTCAGATGACCAGAGCCGGGCTCTGTGCATCCCCGGAGCTGGTGGCGACTGAGAAACCGCAGCGTCAGGTCCGACCGAGTGGGCCTCCCTGCCCGCCCCTGCCCTGGGTCCTGCAGGCTGAGCGGGCCAGCTTTGTCGTGATCACGGGGTCAGATGTACAAGGTGCCTTCGGCCCTGTGGTGACCACTTGGCACTCAGGAGCCCCCGGTGTGCCCATGTCCCACAGGTGGAAGAATGGGGTCCGTTCGACCTCGTGTATGGCTCTACACCCCCCCTCGGCCATGCCTGTGACCATCCTCCTGGTAAGAGACCTCGGTCTGCTCACATTCCCGGGCCCTCCTGTCCCCCTCAACCCCCTTCCATGCCACCTCAACCCTCCTCAGGGGGGTGAATTGTCTGCATTTTTCGTTGATGAATCGCTGACTCACATAAATTGTCCATACTCAGCGTGCACACTTGGTGGGTTGGGACATGCGTATCCCCGTGAAGCCATCGAGAGCGCAAGTGTTTCCATCCCCCGCAGAGACTGCCTCGCACCCCTGATCCTCCCCTTGTGCCCCCTGGGCGACCTCGGTGCTTGGCGTCTCTGCAGCACGTTTCCTTGGAATGGAATTATTTACCCAAGAAGATAGCCCGTGCTCTTCACCGGCCGGCTTCTCTCGCACCTGTGTCGTTTTAACTGCCTCTGTCCATTCTTGACACCGGGGTGCAGGGGTGAGGCTGGGGTCTGCGCTCGGGGTGACATCAGCCCTGTGGCCTTGAGACCCATTTGCTGTTGGAGGGAGCAGCACCACCCTGGGGAGCAGGCGACACAGGGGTCCAGGCCGGCCACTCTGGAGCAAAGCTGTCGTGGTCCCCCTGCCCCCGCCAGCGCCCCTAAGCCCTGCCCTCGAGCCCTGTGTCCCCGCCCTGGGCAGAGCCCAGACCTGCCTGGACTCGCGCCCCCCAGGGTGGTACCTGTTCCAGTTCCACCGCCTCCTGCAGTACGCGAGGCCCCGGCCGGGCAGCCCGCGCCCCTTCTTCTGGATGTTTGTGGACAACCTCGTGCTGACCGAAGATGACCGGGATGTGGCCACTCGCTTCCTGGAGGTGCGTGCAGGCGCTGCGGTCCCAGGGGTGCCAGCCAGGCCGGGGCCTCCCCAAGGGACACTTTGGCCTCTTCAGGGGGTGACACAACTTAGATCCCAGCCCGGGGCCTGAGTTTTCAGAGCTCGCAGGGCCCATGAGGCACAGACCGTGCCCGGCCTGGCGGCCTCGGGGGGCATCCCCTTCAGGCACCACACACTCAAACACACGTGTGAATACGCTACACACTCACACACGTGTACATACATCACGCACCACAGTACACAGCACACGAGTCACTAACACACCACACACCTGCGCAGCATCGCACGCACACACACACACTCCCCACGTATCCAAATCCTGACCATTCGAGCAGCTATTTCTGGCCTCAGTGACGGGTCCATCCAGGGCTGACCTGGCCTGAGTCCCTCCCCGTTCCCCCACACACAGGACAGCCCCTGGCCGGGCCTGGTGTCCCCTCCTCTCGGGACGTCTCCCCCACGTTCCAATGTTCACAAACTTACAGCAGAAAGTCTCCTACCCACCTGGCCCCCACCTGTCCCCACGCCCTCATCTTCAGTGTCTTCATTACCTCCAGGTTCCTTTACACAAACACTAGCAAATCCACCTACGCTGTCGCTCTGCACTGCCTCTTTTTCACTTAACAATCGCCTTGGAAATCCTTCCTTTGCAAAAGCACCTTCCTCATTCTTAATTTGTGTGTTTCACTTTGTGCAGTTTTAGTTGTATGGACATAAAATAACGTATTCAGCCTGTTCCCTGTTGATGGATACTGGGTTTGTTTCTGATCTTTTGCTGTTACAAACAACACCACGGCAAGGGAGCGTGTGTGGGACTCCCTGAGGGATCAGTTCCAGCAGTGAGACAGCTGGATCAAAGGGTAAACAAGGGGTCACTTGCCCAGCTGTTGTCCACCTGCCCTGGGCAGGGGCCATGCCAGTCCACAGTGCCCCCAGCAGGGGACGGACGAGGAGCTGTTTCCTGTCTCAGCCACAGAGGGCCCCAAGTTCTCTTCTACGGTTCTTATTAGGGGCGTTCCCAAGTCCCACCTGTCTTTTCCCTCCAACGGGAATTAGAATCTTCCATTTTATCATCTGACTGGTTTGGATTTGTGTACATGAAACTCTTGATTTCTACACATTAATTTTGCTCCTGCTGCCTCACTGGACCACCTTATGGATTATAGTAGTTTTCAGTCGACTGAATTAGACCTGCTATGTGTTTGAGCAGATCATCTGCAAATAGTGACAGTTTTTTCCTTCTGATTTTACACCTGGGATGTCTTTCTCACGTAAGATGTTGCTGGTCATCTTGGACAGTGTTGGATCGTAGTAGTGACGGGCATGCCTGTCTTGTTCCTGACTTTCACTTTCCAGTGTTTCCCTATGAAGCTGATGCTGGGACGGAGGCTGAGGTTGATATATTTCATTATGTTAAGGAAGTTTCCATTGATTTCCTTTTTTTTCTTTTGAACGATTTCATCAAGAATAATTGTTGAATTTTGTCAAATGTTCTTTCTGATGTCTAGGGAGATAATTAGATAATTTTCCTCTTTAGATGTATTAATAGGCTATAACATACAGATAGATTTCCTAATAACGAACCATCCTTGCATTCCTGGAAAAAAGCTCACTTAGTTGTGGTGAATGGCCCTTTTAACTTACTGCTGAATTCTGGTGAACAGCGTTTCATCTAGGATTTTCACTTTGATAAGCACAAGAGAGGCTGGTATGTAGTCTTTTTGTTTTGTGCCATCTTTGTTGGGTTGGAGTATCCATGTTAAACTGGCATCATAAAAATAGTTGAAAAATTGACAGAATTCTCCTGTGAAATTGTCTGGATGGGTGGTTGTTGCTGTTGTTTTAGACAGGAGTAGCTCTTTTGTAGAAACTGCTCTATTAAGATTTTCTGTCTTTTCTGAGATCACTTTGGTAAGTTATGTTTTCCTAGAATGTAATCTGTTTACTTATAGTTATAGAAATCACTTTCACAGAGTTGAGCAAAGTGGTCTCATGGTTGGTTTTTCTTCCTTCCATGTCTGTGGTTATTTCTTCTCCTTCGGAAGTATGGAATTTTAAAAATACTGACGTGTTGTCACATGGCAGTCAGGAACAGGTTCATAAGCTGCACTGTTTATTAATAAAATATATGAATAGGTAATCATGGGTCAAACCAAAAAGCTCGATTTCCAAACCTAGGCACCAGTCACCCACAAACTCGGAGGACAGCAAAAATACTAACTTCTGATCATTCTGTGCACATGTTTCATAGGTCAAACTTCACCCCAAATCAGAAGTAGGCAAAAAGGGAACTTCTCATATTTTCTGTAACTGCTCCCATTTTGCTGTGGAACCTCATTCCTGCTGCTGGTAGGGAAGAATCTAGACCTGTCAAATATAGGTACTGTCTCTTCCAGCTCTGGTGACTGATGGTACATCAGGTGTGAGTCTCCCCTCTCAGCCAGGTGCCTGGACACAGGAGGAGGCTATGTGTCCAGGGGCAGTGGGGCTTGGGAATGGTCCACAAGGGCCCCTCAGCCAGCCCCCATGTCCAGGGAGGTGGAGTCAAGAGCACCTCGTGTTGGGTGTTGGGGACTAAGTGACCTCTTGCCTCAGTTTCTCCTCCATGCCTCTCTCCCTTCTGCAGCTCTCCCTCCCAGCGTTGGTAAGTCCATCTTGCCTCCCTCGCGCTCCTCCCCCTGTCTTCCCGTACCTTCTAGGAATACTGTGACCCCAGGATTCCAGGCAGCCCACTTGGCTCCTGACCAGGATGGCGAAATGCTGGCATTTTAAAAAACCCTTCTTTCTGCCAGCAAAGCCTCTTATCTCCCTGAGACAAAACATCTCTTGGCTCAAAGACCAAGGCCTTCTTTATCCTTCACAGGAATCCACCTCCGAGCTGGAGCAGGTGGGGAATCCCCGGGCCGTGTGACCTGTGGGAATGAAAAATCTACTGGTTAAAAGTTTAAAAGTAGTATCTCGTATTTCTTCCTCATAAGGTGATTTACAAGAAAAAAAAATGTGACATGTAAACGATGTCAACTGGGAGATGTTGTCAGTCTAGAAAGACTGTTGACCTTATTCTGAGGGCTAGACAGGGTTCCCACGGTGGCTGAGGCCTGTGAGCACCAAGGGGGACAGTGGTCATTGTCCAGGTGACCGTAATCCCCAGCCGATATTTCTACCCCTCAGACCGACCCCGTGACCATCCAGGACATCTGCAGCAGAACCATCTGGAATGCCGTGCACGTGTGGAGCAACATCCCAGCTGTGAAAAGGTATTTCCTGTGCATTCAAGGTCCTTTGGAAGCGTGGAGGGACCCTGACCCAGCGTCGGGTTCACCAAAGAAACAGAAGTCTGAGAGAACGGGGAGTTTTCTAGACAGCCATGCACGGAGCAGCCTCCGTGTCCTGGTCGGGGGCTGTGTCTGGTGGGCCTTCAGGCCACTCGGAAAATTCTAGACATGGTCAAGGTCAGGAATGCCCCCTTCCACTTTGGGGACCTTTTCCCAACTTTTTGCACAAATGCCTCCTGAGGTTCTCATCTCAGGACAAACTCTTGGATGTGAGCCACATGGCCACGTGCGTTCTGGCCCTAGTACCCCCTCCTCAGCCTTCTGGGGCACCTGCCTCGCCCTACACACACCAAACATTTCACACACCCGCTCACACACTCACTCTCACATTCACAGGCACCCACTCACACTCACTCACATGCTCACACAAGCCCATGCACACTCAATCACACACCCAGGATGCACTTGTGGGCTGTGCTGAACTTCCTTCAGTCCCTGAAACACGCCATGCCTCGGGCCTTCACGCATACCCCTCCTCCACTGCCGGAATATTCTGGCGACTGTTCATTCTCATGAACATTCTCCCTGCCTCACCCGCTCCCCGACCACACTCACTGCCCCTGGTCTGGCCAACTCTGCTCCTCCGGGCAGGCTTTCTGCTCCCAGGACACCTGCCCTCGCTCTCCTGTCTTCCCTCACACCATGTCCCCCCCGGAGCCCTTGAGGAGCTGGCCATCTCCCTTCCCCCGCCCCACAGCACCTGGCAGGGGCCCTTATGTTGAACGTTGACGGCATCTTCTGGAACAGCTAAGTTATGTCTCCTCCTCCTGACAGTGAGTTTCTGGAAACTTCTTCCCACCCACCTCCCAATTCCAGCCTTCTCCCTGCTGGCAGCGTGGCATGAGCCCACTGCCCCACCTGCCCAGGCTGGGCGCTTGCCAGGCCACACCCAGGGTTTGGGGTTAGGTGCAGCTAAGGTGCAGCAGCTTTCCAGAATGTTAACTTTTCGGAGGCCTTGAGAGTCATCCCGCCTCTTCTGTGTGCATCTCCCCTGCCCCCACCCCACCAGCTCCCCCTCCTTCCCCTCAAGGAAGGTGCCTGGGGAGGCGAGCGGGCGGGCACTTGGTTCCCAGAAGCAAAGCTGGAATCCGGCTTCTTTGCAAGGGCGTTTTCCTTTCCGGCTGGTGTTGTCTTAGTAGTGAGGAGAGAGACCCACACTCACTGAAAGCAGACATCGTTAATCAGCAGCTGCCGCCAGATGGCCAGGGTCCAGAGGGCCACATCATCTCTCCCTCGGAAGGTCGAGCCGCTCCGGGGGAGCAGGCGGGGAGAGAACCCGGAGGGGCACTACGTGTTTCCGACACCTCATTTGTAAACGGAGAAATGTCCCCCGACTCCAGTGAGGTGCTGGCGAGCAGGAGAAGGGGGTTCCGGGGGCCCCGTCCTTGAAGCCTTGTCCCCAAGGGTTGCATCAGATTGCAGGCCGGGGTGCCATGTTCTCCCCGCCCGCCCGCCCCCCACGCAGGGCCTCCAGCACAGGCAGCCACAGGACCACGGGGGACGTGCCCAGTGCCATGCGGGGGCTTGGGTGCAGCAGAAGCCTCGGGAACGACACACAATGCGGTTTGCCAACCTTTGCCAGAGGGGTCCCGCCCTTTCCTCTGTGTGGGTTTGCTCCGTGATGGCTGAAAGTGGGACCCGTCCAGCTGGGCCAAGGGTCTCGCCTTGGGGACCCTCTCTGCCCCCCACTGCCCTACCTGCCTCTCAAGGGACCGGCTCCTCCTTGGGGGAGGCGGGAGGTGTGGGGGCCATCTCGTCCCCTGCCGCCCTGGAAGAGCTTGTCATTCCACTACTGGGTGAAAAAGTCACAGGACATGGTGGGGTCTTCTGTGGATGTTTATCTCGGAGACCTCCGGATAATCTAGGGAGACCGGCACCAGCCAGCCTTCCTCGTGGGAGCCCCTTTCCCATCCACTGTCCTGCCTGGCCCTCAGGGAGCCCCTGTGGTGGCCGGTTGGTAACGAGCCCCCTTCTCTCCTCCCAGCAGGCACTCAGCCCTGGTTTCCCAGGAGGAATCCTCCCTGCGGGCTCAGGACAGGCAGAGAGCAAAGCCCCCCACCCAGGGGCCAGCCAAGCTGGTGAAGAATTGTTTTCTCCCCCTGAGAGAATATTTCAAGTATTTTTCAACAGAACTCACTTCCTCTTTATAAATGAGTCACTATACTTTGAAAAAAAATGACTTTTCCTAGAACAAAGACAACTTTCCTTATATTGTCTCTTTTTTCCTCTTTGTTATTTCATCTGCTTGACGGTGGATTTTCCATGGTTGCTACAGACCCGTCTTCCCTTTGGGTCTGGAGACGCAGGGCCCCGACCCACCATGCCCTTCAAAGAATGGGGGGAAACACCCCGTGTCTAACCAGGACGAGCTCCTGATATTACAGTTATAGTGTGCTGCTGAAAACATTTGTGTGTGTCAATTGAGAAGTTAAAAATATATTTATGGTGATGAGTTAGTGGTCATTTTTTGGTGGTGGTGTGTATAAGCACAGCCTTTATTTTCCTCTATAGGACATGGGGGTGCACGTGAGGACAACGAGCAGGACACGTTCTTATAAGTGCTTGTTCCACGTGCTCCACACTCACACACAACCAGTGTCGTCACACGACTGCCATTTGCTGTTATAGTTAAAACCACCTGATTATAGCCTCGCGAACTGTCCCAAACCTTGTCAAAGTGTAGACTGTCAAACTTGGTAAGTGGGGAGAATGGACTGAATAGACAGCGCAGGGGACGAGGCCAGATCCACTTTTGGTCCTCCTTAACCCAGAGGCACCTGCTTGTAGAAAGCAGGATTCTGCTCCCACTGGGCTCCAGCGAAGATAAACCCAGTGCAGAGCATCGACTCAAGCTGGCTTCACATCACGTGTAGTGAATCCTAAAGGGGTCTTTCTCGATTAGCCAGAAAACCACCAAAAGGGATATAGACTTAGATAAACAGACTCAGTTCATCCTGGGCATTACCACTGTGCCTTGGGGACCCCCAGGTCCAGTGCGGGTGCTGTTAGCGGTATGTAAAACGCTTTGTGGAAGAAAGGTGGGGTTAAATGGAAACTTTTGAAGATTTTAAAAAAATGCCTTGAGGTAGAATACAAGCCGCGATGGTTAATTGTATGTGTCGACATGGCTGGGCCACGGTGCCCAGACATTTGTTCAAACCTTATTCTGGGTGTTCCTGTGAAGGTGTGTTTTGGGTGAGATTAACATTTAAATTGGTGGACTTCAAGTAAAGCAGATCACTCTCCATAATGTGGGTGGGCGCTATGGTATGAATGTCCACGTCCCCCCAAAACTGACATGTTGAAATCTTAACCCCCAGGGTGACGGTTTTAGGAGGTGGGGCCTTTGGGAGATGAGTCCAGAATGGGATTAGTGCCCTTAGAAAAAGGCCCCAGAGAGCTCCCTCACCCTTTCTGCCATGTGAGGATACAGGAAAAGTGTAGGACCAAGAAGAGGACCCTCACCACCGTGTGGCACCCCCATCTCCCCCTTCCCCACTCCAGAGCTGTGAGAAATACGTTTCTGTCGTCTATAAACCTCCCAGTGTGTGGTATTTTGTTACAGCAGCCCAATAGACTGAGACAGTGGGCCTCATCCACGCCACTGTCTTGGATGAAGGCCTGAATAGGACAACAGCTGACCTCCTCCGAGCAGGAAGAAATTCAGCAGCTGACAGCTGTGGACTCGAGTTACAACTCTTCCCTGGGTCTCCAGCCAGCCAGCACACCCCACAGATTTGGGGTTCATTGAGCCTCCATATGGCATGAGCCAATTCCTTGAAGTACATTTCTCTCTATATATACATACATCCTGTTGGTTCTGTTTCTCTGGAAAGCCCTGACGAATACAGACATCTTCATCCAATCAATGCGAACCTTCCCTCGCAGTTGGAATGGAAAACAATCCTGGGCTCTGACGTCACAGATCTCATGTCCAGGGGCTAATTTAGCAAGATCTGTAACGAAACCGAGGTCACAGCAGCCCGAGAAAACACAGAGGAAGTGGAGACGAGGACACAGCACAGATAAGACCTTTGTGGTAGGCCAAGCTCTGGATGCAAGCTGACCGCAAAGACGTGTGCCCGTGGCAGCAACTGGCAGGACAGGGCGTGGTGACAGCTGTGCACCGGTGGGCTGACTCCAGGCTGTTTCCACCCAAGATAACCGACGCCATGGGGCCCCACCTAGTGTCCACTTTCCATCAGACTGCCCCCAAGTAGGGGCCCAGAGCCACTCAAAACAGCTTTACATCTTCAGCTCTCTCTCAATCACCTTGAGATTCTCCCTTTAAATATTTTAATCCCACCTACAGGACCCTGTTTATGACCCTCTGTGGTTGGCTGAATAATGACCGCCAAAACATGTCCGTGTCCTGGTGACCTAATGGGTGTCACCTTATAGGGCAAAAAAGGATTTAGCCGATGTGATGAAATGGAGATGGGGAGATTGTCCTGGATTATCCAGGTGGGCCCTACATGTGATCACAGAGGTGCTCATCAGGGGAGGCGGAGGGAGGCTTGACCTCACACAGACGAGAGGGCCCTGACCATAGAGGCGGAGATGTAGGGGCAGCTACAAGCCAAGGGACGGCTGGGGCCACCAGGGGCAGAAGAGGCAGGAAGGATCCTTGTACCCATCTCAGACTTCCAGCCTCCAGAGTTTCAGGAGAATCTGTTTCTGTTGTTTTAGGCCACTAGTTTGTGGTATTTAGTTACAGCACCCAGAGGAAACTGACACACCCCCTAAGAGGAAAGATGGGCTTCCTGGAGGAGGGATCAGTCAAGCTCCCGGCATCAGCTGACGCCTGCCATGTCACAGGCACGTGGCTGTGCTGGACTCTAGGGGAACTGGGGCAGGAACAGTGGAGGGGAAGCCTGGGTCTCCAGCGTCGAGGCGCACACTTCCTGCTTCCAGCTCTGCACCGAGCTTCGAATCCCCAGCACAAACATGACTCCTACTTGGTTCTCAGGTCGGCCTAGATATTCTTTCCGGTGGGCTTCTCTCTCTACATTCTTTGACTGCCTGAGAATCAGTCATGGTCAAGGGGAAGGGAAGAAAGAAACACCCTCTTTAACTGCAGGAAGCCTCCTGAGGGGGCCTTCTCTTTTTCATTTATGTTAAAATCCTCTGTGCCAGTGTTGGTGGAAGGCTTTGTGTGTGTTAGCTCACAATAGCCACCTATTAACTAGGCTGCTTTGTGAGGAAGGTGTTGTAACATCCCCACTTCACAAATGGGAAAACGCAGGCACAGAGGGGTTGAGTAGGTTGCTCAATGTCACACAGCTCCTGAGAAGCAGAGCTGGGATTTGAACCCAGCATGCACTTCTCAGGCTGAGGGTCCTGTGGCTGGTCTTGGTCCCCCTCCTGGGGGTGCCCCTGGCCCCACGGCCCCAGTCCCATCTGGACGCCCCCTTCCAGCCCAGCTGCCACTTCCCTGCCTGCTCAACAGAGTCCCCACTCTTGGGTGCGCCCAGCAGCCGCACTTGGCCTTCTGGGGTCTGAGGCGCCGACTGGCTCTGCCATGTTAGCCCGTTCTAGCCCCCTGCTCTCACCTCCCCTCCCCTACCACCGGAGGGGCAGTGTGGGGGCTGCGATGAAGGGCTTCGCTTCCAGACCCTCCGGACTGGGCACCTTCTCTTCCCTGCTCCAGGATGAGCGGGCACCCTCTGAGGGAGACTTTAACCGAGCCGGGGGTGGGGGGGTTTCTCCATCCCCCAGGACCAGCTCCTCTCCAACAACCCTGTAGGTTGCACGTGGGGCCCGTCCCTCCCCGCTCCCCATCCAAGCGGGCGGGGTCGGGATCCTCTTGGGAGCCTTGGGGGTGGAGCGCAACCCACCCCCTCCGCCTGTCCAATCACAGAATCCCGGGATTTGTGGGCGGGGCTGGACCCGGGAAGGCGGGAGTGGTGGCGGCCCCCAGCCCGGCCCTCCTTTCTCGCTTGTGGCTGCTGCTGGGGCTCGGCTCCCGCAAACGCGGTCCTCCTTTGCCAACTGCTGCCGACCCGGGGGGGAGGGAGCCCTGGCCTGGACCCCTGGCCCTGCCCTCCCGGCTAAGAGGGAGAGTGGCCTCTTTAAATCCCCCACCCCAATCCCCTAGCCTGCCTAGGGAGGCGTGAAGCCCCGCTTCAGGACTGCACGCCCACCTCCCTCCCTGGCCACCCGTTTCCCGGCAGCCCCCACCCCTCCCTGCGTCCTCCTCGGCAGCACATGTCCCCACCTCCTGGCCTATCTCTTTCCTTCCTAGTCTTGTTTGCTCTGGTCTCCTCAAGCATGTTAACTTCCACGGGGCAGAGAGTCTTTCTTTCTGAGCTTTTATCCTTCGTGCTCTTGTAGGACCCGGGCAGCACTAGGTGTGCACGAAATCTTCGTGGGATGAACGACAGCCTGGGGAGGTGACTGGGACCAGGGGAGCCCCCCTTGGCTCTCCCCTCGCCTTACTCCCTGCCTTCTCCCGCCCCCCAAAGGCCGGCCTCTGCCTCCCCATCAGCCTGGGCAGCAGAACACACCCTTCCTGCCTGCTCCACCGGACAAGAGCCTCCAGACCCGAGATGGGGGCGCCTGGGACCCCAGGCTCTTCCAGGGCGGCCCCTGCAGGGGGGCACCCTATTCCCTCGTGGCCCAGCCTCCCTCACCTCATTGGCACCTACCCGGCCGGTGCGGGAGGGGGGGGGGAGCACTGGCTCAGCTGGGGCGCAGACAGGAGGCCGAGTGGGCTGGGCAGGGTGGGGGAAGGGAGGAAACGGCTCCGAGTAGCCTTTCCCAGAAGTCAAGGGTGCCGCGTCCCAGAAGCTTAGAGGAGCAAAGATGAACTGGTTTCCACACGGTGGGCTTCTTGGGGCTTTAACATGCAAGTACGCTGCGGCACGTGGCCCAGGACCCCACAAAGAACAGGAGAACAAAGTTGTGGGGGGGACCCAGGGCTGGACTGGAAGGTGGGGCCTGCCTTCCCTTCCTTCATTCGTTCCTAACAGTCCTGCAGCTCTCACTTCACCTAAGACCTGGGGGTCCTAACTCGGGTCCCGAGGGAAGGAGGGAGCCTGACACTCAGCTCCGCCCTCCTGGGGCAGGGACACGCGGCCGCGGGGGCGGGGCGCGGCACGGGGCGGGGGGGCGCAGGCGCAGGCGTAGCCACATCGGGGGCAGCACTTAGCTTCCCACGTCCCTACCAGCTCTCCCGCGGCACCCCTGGCCACCCTCCTCCCTGGTACCATGTTCCCCCCAACTTCCCGGGGCACCTACAGCGCCCAGGCCCCGGGCCCTGCACCCATTGGGGCCCGACTTGCTCTGTCGCCTGGGAAGGCTTCACAGTGGCCGAGCTTCCGTTCCTCCGCACCCGCCTGCGGCCACGGCCGTGGGAGGAACTGGGCGGGGGAAGGGCCTAGGGGCGGGGCCCGGGCCAGCACTCCTGCCTGGACCGGCTCAGCGCTCAGAGTGTCAGAGGCGCAGCGGGCTCTCGCGCTCAGTGGTCACTCCGGCCGGAGGTCTCTCGCAGCCTGAGGTCTCCCGCGGCCTGAGGTCTCCAGCGCTCCGACGTCTTCTGTGGCCCAAGGCCTCCCGCGCTCCGAGTTCTCCGCCCCACCATGCGGCTGGGAAGGTGAGCGCGCGGACGGACGGGCCCCGCGGGAGCTGGGGAAGCAGCAGAGGCGCCGCGGTCTGGAGTGGGGTCCGGACTTGGGGCCCAGCGCACCCTGACGGCCGCGGCCCGGGGACCCACTCGCCTGGCGGCGCAGCGGCGGGAGGTCCTCTCAGAGGGTCGGCTGCCAGGAGCGGGGTGCATCGGCGGGACCGGCGGGCGGCGCGGTCACCTGCCGGCAGGTGGCATCCGCCCAGGGGGTGGCGAGGGCTGGGCAGCGGGGGCGGACCGCAGTGCGTGGGTGTGCTTGGGGGCGGGGTCCCTGCGGAGGGAAGGTAAAGAGCGAAAGCTGGAAGGAGAGAAGACACACCCCACACATGCTCACTACCCCCCCCAAGTCCTCCCCACCGCCCTCCCCGGCCCCCACCCGATTGCCCAAAAGGTGGAAGAAGGAAGGATGTGACCACGCTGTGCCACTATCACACTTAGATACCTCAAAGGCCAGCTGGTCAGCCCACCGTTTGGTGACACGCCCCCCCCAATCTGGGATTCCCCCCCCCCATCGGCAGAGCCAGACTGCCTGGGCCAGCCCATGGATCCTGGTCTCCTGCCAGCCTGAGGGGGTGGATGACAGCTTTACTCCCAACTTTTTGCCAGAATACCCTCTTCAGGGCATGTTGTAGGGTCAACAGCCTGTGGCCCGGGTGATGAGCTTATGAGGCACTCCGTCCCCATGTGTACCACCCACACAGCCCAAAAGCCTGTCCACACTTGGTTCCCCACGCCCAGTCTTCCCAGTTAGAGATATAGGTAGTTAAGACCGTTCCCTCAATAAAGGAAATAAAACTGCTGGAATGTCACAGCCATCCACACTCTGAGCCTGGGGAGGGGGGGGCGGGGCTGAGGGGAGGGCAACAGAGAGGCCAGCAGGCAGGCAGCACCCAGGCAGGGGCCAAACCGTTCTCCCCTGCCAGAGCCCAGAGCAGGTGCCTGCACCCCCAAGAAAGCCCCCAGAGGCCCTGAGGAGACCCTACAGGCGTGTGCTCCCTGGACCCTGGGCACAGAGAGAGTGGGCCTGGTGAGCACCCACTGGGGGGCGCCATGGGAGACCAATGGGGGGCCATAGAGGGGTTTTCACGGCTTTGTATTTTAGAGGGTTTCTCTGGCTGTGAAAAAGGCTGCTAGAGGGGTTGAGACTGGAGGTGGAGGTTGTCACAGCCATCCCTGCAAGCAGGAATGGTGGCCCCAAGAGAGACAGTGAGAGAGGACAGGCCTGCCAGCAGGCTGCGGCCTCTGTGGTGTGTGGGAGCCCCCGGTGGCCCAGGGCCTGGCGTGGGCAGGACAGCAGTGCCTGCCTGAGGTCACTTGGCATAGGCCGTGCCTCCTCCGTGCAGATGCAGATGACAGCTGATGGGGGCAGGGCAGGGGTTTCTGTGGATCCAGAGCTCAGGGGACGCGCATCCTGGGAGGCCTGCAGGAGGAGGTGGCTAGGCTGAGGCATGCAGGGTCCCAAGCCTCCCCGACTGAGGGTTCGAGGAGCCTCGGAAGTCACGAGAGGGGTGTGCTGGCCCCCCGGCAGCCGAAGTTTGATCATGGTCAGAATGATCATGTCCCAGCCGAGGATCGGCCTGCAGCTCGCCTGCCTCTTCCTTAGGTTTTCTTTGACTCCCCGCGTTTAGACGGGGGGGGGGAAGAGTCAAAACTCTTCCTGTAAATACCTTGAAAGTGTTTTTTCCTGATTTCATACAATTTCTTAGACTACATCCCTTGCCAGGCTAGGCCACCAGAGGGTGGAAGGCTGTGCCCACCCTTTGTGATCATACTCTCCTCACTGTTTTGCAGGGCTGGTGGGGTGGTGGAGGGGTTGTTAACTCGGGAGCTGGCCCATTGCAGGGCTGCCAGCCCCTAGGGACGTGCTGTGCTCCGCACGGAGGAGGGCATCCTGGCTCCCCTCCCTGAACTCCCTGCCACCTGCCCAGGGGACCTTGGCCAACGGGCTGGCTGGCTGTGGATGTATTCACATTTCTTTGTGGGTGTAGGCGCTCCTACCCAGGAGAAGCAGCCTGTCAGCAGGACTCACCTGCATTTCTGGTTGTTTTTTTCCAGTCCTGGACTGCTGCTACTGCTGCTCAGCGGCCTGCGAGCTGGTAAGTTCAGACGGGGCTCTCACTGGGGAGTGAGCAGCAGCGAGACCAGCTTCCAATCCTTCAGCTCTGAGCAGTGAGGACCGCAGGACGCAGGCGTCAGCAGGGTCCTCACCACGGGGGCCGTTATGAAACAGCTGGGTCCTCAAGCCCTGGGGTGACCTGCGGGCTTGAAGGCCACAAAGGGGAATGCTGTCCAGACCCGGAGTCGTTGTTTTGTGTTGTGTTTGGCGTAGACAGAATGCGCTTCCTCCCACGTGTGTCAGTCCCTGTGCTTTCCAGATGAGCCGAGAGCCCCGGGGCTTCCTGTTTCTCCTGGCCCCTTCACCCCAGTCAGCCCTGGGGAGCCCCCAAAGCCACCAGCTTCCAGAAGAGCAAGGAGCAGTGATGAAGCCTTGCAGAGCCCTCCCGCCCAGAGGGTGGTGGGGTCAGGGGACACGCCCACTTTCCCTGTAGGCATTTAAGTGGCTGTGCAGATGGTAAAACCACTGACACGTTAAGTGAGCCTTTTCTGGTGTAGTGCGAACAGCATTATAATACTGTTGTTGAGAAACTGATGTTTTCTTTTAAATGCTGAACTTTAAAAGAAAAAACCTTTTTGTTTTGAATTAATTATAAACTCCCAAGAAGTAGCAAAAATAGTGCAGAGGGGTCCCGGGGGGCCCATCCCCCCCGGTTCTCCCAATGCTAGCCTCCTGCGTGCGATAGGAAATCCACATTGGACGATACATTGGGGCAGCTTATCACAGATGTCTGAATTTTTTAAATATTATTGCATTCCTACGTGTATCTTCATACGTTCCTTTTCTATTAAAATGACTCAGAATTGGTGTTTGAGTCTTGCAACCAACAAGCTCCCCACCCCACCCGCCATAGAGTAACTTCGTAGGCTGTGGCCCAACCCCGGGAAAATAAACTTTGTACTTTTTGAATCCTTGCAGATATTCAAGAAAAAGAAGTCAGAGCGATGGTGGGCAGCGACGTTGAGCTCAGCTGCGTTTACCCCGAAGAAAACAGTTTTGATTTAAATGACCTTTTCGTTTATTGGCAAATCCGTGAGGAACAGAAAACTGTGGTCGCTTGCTATCTGTCCGGGAATGACTCCACCGGCTACAGCCATGACCGCTACCGGGACCGGGCCAGGCTGTCACTGGACCGCATGAAACAGGGCGACTTCTCTCTGCATCTCTACAACATCACCCCCCAAGACGCACAGAAGTTTGACTGCCTGGTGTTCCGGAAATCCTTGGAATTGACAAAGATTTTGCAAGTTGTGATCACGCTGCATGTGGCAGGTAAGGCCGTGCAGCTGATGGAACGGATTTCATCCCAGTCTTACGTCCTGGAAAAAGTTTTCATAAGACCCATTTTCTGGCTCGGTCACCTGTTTCTTCCCATAAAGGAAATCCTAACTCTATTAGAGGGCTTCTGTTTAACTGTGTGTGAAGCTGAACTGGTTAAAAAAGATCATTCAGCTCATAAGAAAGTCATCCCTGACCTGAGGCTGCCCAGTTTCAGAAGAACCCCTCATCTTGCTGTCTTTGCCTCGAACTCTCCAACTCAATTCAAACTAGATTTTTATTTATTTTTTGATGAGGAAGATCAGCCCTGTGCTAACATCTGCCAATCCACCTCTTTTTTTTGTTTGTTTTTCCTGAGGAAGACCGGCCCTGGGCTAACATCTGTGCCCATCCTTCTCCACTTTATATGGGACGCCGCCACAGCGTGGCTTGCCAAGCAGTGTGTCAGTGTGCGCCTGGGGTCCGAACCGGCGAACCCTGGGCCGCCGCAGCGGATCATGCGAGCTTAACCACTTGCGCCACTGGGCCGGCCCCTCGAACTAGATTTTTTTAGTGAAATTAGGAGGGAGTGCTTATAAGGCACTAAATGAGATCAGAATTTAGGAAAAAAATTAGTCGCTCACTAATTTTTGAACGAGTGAGCAAGTGGCCCACTTGCTCAGGGCCCAGTGCAGTGGAGACGGGCTGTGTCCGCCTCAGATGAATTGCAAGCTCTCCATGTCACTAGATGCAAATGAGGCTGGCCTTCTTGGAGCAGGCAGCGGGTCCCAGTCACTGCCTGCCGGGCTCAGTAGCCCCCTATTGATGGTGATAAGGGGCAACTCTTGGGCAGAACAGGGCTTGTACCCGCTCCCCAGACCACAGCCCTGGTGTTGCCTCTCTCAGGGGCACGACGGGGGGCCTCCCTCTATCCTGACCCTTGGCACCGTGTACCCCTCTGTTTCTGACCTTCACAACCTGGCGTCCCTCACCGCCCGTTTCCCTCCCCCGCAGCAAAATACAGCATGCCTGTGGTCCAGCCCCCCAGAGACCCCTCCCAGGACAAGGAGCTCACCTTCACGTGTACGTCTAAGAATGGCTATCCGAGGCCAAATGTGTACTGGATCAACAAGACGAACAACAGGCTGCTGGACGAGGCCCTGCAGAACAACACGTTCTTCTTGAATGAGAGGGGCTTGTATGACGTGGTCAGCGTCCTCAGGCTCAGGTGGACCCCCAACGTGAACGTCGGCTGCTGCATAGAGAACGTGCTTCTGCACCAGAACCTGACTGTCAGCAGCCAGACAGGTGAGGTCCCCCGGGGTCTGCACGATGACCCCAACCCGAGGCTGCAGGCCAATGGTGGCTTGGGAAATGCTCTCGGGCAGAAGATAAAGCCCCTACAAGGTGACTGGGCAGCGGCATCAGAAAGGTGGCTGGAACGGGGAGGAGATGGGAGTCAGGCGTGCAGTGATGAAAATCACCATGCTGCTGAGGGCGGGAACGGGGCCGGGTGCTCGGTGCGCATTGCTTAACTTAATCTCCACTCACGGGGCGAGTTTTGGTGACCCGTTTTACGGAGGAGGGACTGAGGCTCTGAAAGTTGTATAGCATTTCAGGAGCCACAGGACTAGGCAGCAAGTGCATCAGGATTGAAGCCCGTGCCTGCTGGCCTGGGGCCTCCCCGTGGAAGAGGCACAGGCAGGTGACTCCTTCGTAGAAGCCACTGGCTTTCAATCTGTGTGTCCTTGTCACCCGTGTTGAGATGACAGGTGGAACTGGGAGGTGAGGAGCTCTAGGATGGGGTCTGTGGGCCCTGCCTGCTGCAGAAAGTGGGTGCCACCAGTGGGACCCTCACATACGCTCCTCCTGCACTGCAGGTGGGATGTAAGATGGTGTGGCCACTGTGGAAAACAATCTGGCAGTTCCTCAAAAGTTAAATCTAGAGTTTCCACATGACTCAGCAATCCCACTCCTGGGTATGTCCCCAAGAGAATTGAAAACGAGACTCAAACAAATACTTGTACATGAGTGTTCACAGCAGCCCTATTCACAATCGCCAAAAGGTGGAAAGAAGCCATTTCCAGGGTTGAGTGAAGGGATAAACACAATGTGGTCCATCCACACAGTGGAATAGTGTTCAGCCAGGAAGAGGAATGAAGAGCCGACATGCTACAACGTGGATGAACCATGAAAACATTGGCTAAGTCAGAGAAGCCAGACACAAAGGTCCCACATGGTGACTCCTTTGAGATGAAGTGTTCCGAGTAGATAAATCCATAGAGACAGAAAGCAGATTAGAGGTGGCCAGGGGCTGGGTGAGGGGCGTGGGGAGTGACTGGCTGATGGGTGTGGAGGTTCCTTTTGGGGTGATAAAAAGTTCTAGAATGGGCCGGCTCCATGGCTTAGAGGTTAAGTGCGCGCGCTCCACTGCTGGCGGCCTGGGTTTGGATCCCGGGCGCGCACCGACGCACCACTTCTCCGGCCGTGCTGAGGCGGCATCCCACATACAGCAACTAGAAGGATGTGCAGCTATGACATACAACTATCTACTGGGGCTTTGGGGGGGGAAATAAATAAAATTATTAAAAAAAAAAGTTCTAGAATTAGGTAATAGTTATCTCTGCACTATATTGTGAACGTACTAAATGCCACTGAATTTTCACTTTAAAATGGTGAATTTTGTTATGTGAATTCCACCTTAATTTTTTTCAAAAAGCTAGCAATAAATCTAGAAAAAAATTAAATTAGATTAAATTTAAAAAGCCAGGAAGAATCTGTGCTTCTCACATGCCCCTCCCCAGGCGCGGAGGTTTAGGAAGGGCTGGGATCACAGTGACACAGGCAAGTGGGGAAGAGTGAGACCCCGAAGAGACAAAGGCTCACCCGGAAGAGAGAACCCTCCTCTGCATCAGGCTGAGATTTCAGAAATCACAGCGTCCTGCCAGAAAGCTTCTTCAGAATCACTGTGTCCAATGCTGTCTTCTTCAGGATGAAAAAGGACCCCACTCCTCCTTCCCCTTTAAGTCTTGGGTTGTTTTCGTCTTTCTCGTAGAAACGCTCACTGGGACGAAGGACAGCATCACAGAGGACCCTCCCAACACCCACGAGGAGAGAAACAGGGCCGTGTTCAGCGTCCTGGCCATCCTGGCTGTGGCCGTGGCCGTGGCTACAGGCTGGGTGTGCAGAAGCAGGTGTCCCTGTGGAAGCCACACAGGTATCAGACGGGCGCGCGGTAGGTGGTGGACGTTTCTTCTGTTGGTGTGAGCGTTTGCCTTTTTCAGTGCAGAGTCCTGTTTACAAGCTCTGCAAGATGCTACTTTCTTTCGAAGTGCGGTTTTAATAGTGTTAAGGTTCCTTCGTGAGCATCCACAGCCCCGCGGCGCCAGGATGTGGGTGGGAAGCCCTGATGTCTCAGGCTCCGCATTCCTGACACAGCCGCGTCTCCCTGGGGTGGGGTGGGAATGACGGACTCTGAGTACAGAAGAGAGGACGAAGTTCGTTTCTGTGGAAGCCCAGCCGCCTTCGTTCCCGACGAGACTGTCTTTCCAATTCCGGCCAGACTCAAAGACAGATCCATTGAGTCTGGGTGTTGACTATAAAACAAAGTAGCAGAACTCCCAGTGGAGGCAGAAGAGCCCAGAACGTGGACTCGGTGATGACCCAGTGTCAACAACACCCCCAGTGTCGACCTGGGGGTGGAGGTCGGCAGTCATCCCCAAAGGTCCTAGTGACAAAGTTGGGGCTCTTCCTGGGCCCCCCGGGAGGGTGGGGACAAGGGGAGTGCTGGTTAAGTGGAGCGGGTTGCCACCGGATTAACGTGTTAGCTCACAGCTGGGGCCCTCCCTGACGGAAGGAGGTTTCCACGTGCTGTCTTGGAGTTTCCAGTGTATTGCCAATTCCATCATCCCAGAAATACCTCCCCCCGCCCACGGCCCCACTGCCCATCCGGCCGCAAAAGGGCACCGTGAGTCCGGGGCACAGAGCACCTTAAAATGTTTCCCTGCACTCGGGGCCACTGGGGTCTTTAGTGCGGCCCCCTCCACACCCTTTGCTGCCCGCCCTGAGCGTTTCTGGTTTGCTCCGACAGGTGCCTGGCGGCGAGGCTGGAGCAGGAGCTCACCGGTGAGTTCGCCGAGAGGGGAAAGACTCGAGGAGAAGTGTGCCACTTACGTGGGCCCAGGCTGGCCTGGCTGTCGGCTTCCTGCCTTGTTTGCCTTTTGGCACGAGCAACACTTGATGACCAGGAAGTAGATGTTTCCATTTTTAGAGACACGGTGAAACCCCCAGTGATGCTTAGGGAATTTCCTCCTGGCCCCTTGGGCGTGGGTATACTTGCTGACATGCAGAACTTTCCCAACACACAGAGAAGCAGAGAGCCTGGGACCACGACCCCCAGGCACCTCCACCCAGCTTCCATTCTCCATCCTCACTGCCTCCGTGTGCCCCGCCCGCCCCGGGCAAGTCCAGACACCGAGTCGTCGTAATAGAGCAGTTATCTGGTGTCTCCTGGCAGAGGCAAGCACCCCACAGTCCCGGGAGCAAAGGTCGATGTGATTCCTGTCCCAGTTTGGAAAAAACATTCACACAGAGTCTCCAGTTTCCAGCGGCAGGTGTCCCGGGCTGCAAAGGGTCAAGGGGCTTTGCAGTCAGGCTGGCCCAGGCTCCATGCCTTAGGCAAGTGACCGCACCTCTCTGAGCCACATTTCTCCAGCTACAAGCAAGGGTCCTCCTGGGGAGGGTGGGCCCGGGCTGTGCGCAACGCGCAGCGCGGTGCCTAGCCCGCAGCACCCACTACGAGTGGGCCCACCTGTTTCCCCGGGTGAGGGAGCTGGGTCACGCGGGCTGACCTGCTGCGGGAGATGCACTCCCCGGGCCCACGTGAGCCAATTTCAGATGACTCTGGAACACAGGCTGTAAGACATCCGGGGCTGCCTGTTCCTGCAGTCAGGTGCCGTTTAAAGGCAGCTACTTCAAAGTCTTCAGCCTCAGTTTTCACCATCCTGAGTCCTGAGAAACCAGCCCCTCTGCCCCCAAATGAAAGGGAGCAGGCTCTAGTGTTTCACATCCCTCTCCCTCCTTCTCTTTCCTTCCCAGACCACGTGTGACGAGAACTTACCACCCCGGGTGTGTACAGAGCTTCTGTGAGATGCCACCAGGAGGGACGTTGGACGGCAGCTTGAGAGTTGACTCGGGCAGCTGGTGACAAAAGAGGACCATCTGCCCCCATCTGCACCATTGACAAGGGGCCTTCATGGACCTGGAGCCTCTCTGGCCTGGAGGGGACATGCAGGGGCTTCTCCTGGAAGGACCACGCCTGATCACAGGAGAATGTGCTGGGTGATGCCCCGATATCGGAGTGAGGTCCTTTCAAAAGGGTCCACAGCTCTGGAACGTGAGTGCCCTGGGTGAGTGGGCTTCTCACCTTTGCTGCCAAATCTGAAGGAGAAGGGGGCCTGTGACGGCTCCTTCCCATCACCATCTCCGAGACCCAGAGTGAAACCCAGACCCGGCTGGGGGACAGGGGTTTCTGAGGCCGGGGGAAGGGGGTCATTTGGAAAGAAGAGTGAGGATGCCCGCTCTCTGCCGGGACGACCTGTGCTGGCTGGAGGACACTCAGGGTGTTCTTGGGAGAGGGAAATGCAGGGGCTCACTGCGATTCTGCCATAAGGACCCCACCCCACCCTGAGGGCGCAGGACCTGTCTGTGCACATGGGTGTGTCCCAAATGCAGGAAATGGTCAGCACCAAAAAACCCCTGGAAGAACCCCCGGAATTCACTGGGAACTTGTTGGTTTTGGTCAAAAGCTAGGTTTCCCTCCTAAAAAGCACAATGGAATTTTTCGAGAAGAAAATCTACTGCTGGGACCCACGTATGCGGGACGCAGTGGCCTCCTGGGGTGTTCGGCTCTGCAGTACGAGACGCACCCCAGGGAGAAGCAGAAACTCAGCCCAGGTGGGACTGGGGATGCGTGTTTCCAGAGGACACAGGCTTGGACACATGACCGTCGAAGTCCTTCAGAGCGGCCGGGACGGGGAGGGAGAGGGCACGCTCCCGGCAGCGTGGCAGCCTTTTGGACAGAGTGGGGGTGGGCAGCTCCTTGCCAGTCTCTGCGCCCGTTGCCCACAGCCCCCCGCCCGACCTCCCCTGAGGACCTGCATGGTTGAATGGAGACTCTGACTCAAACACCGGGGTCCCCGGGCCCCAGCAGGCCCCCCAGGGGACAGAGCTGGACTGTGGCCTAAGTCCACACTGGTGTGCGGCCCCTGGCCCTGACCCTCCCGGGCGGTTTCCACGTTGGTGCCTGGAATGGACCTAGCAGTTTGACATTTCTAGCAGGTTCTGCCCAGGTAGCTCCGGGTAACCCAGATGTGCACCCCGGGGAGATAGGGCCTGCTGTTCCACCCGTGGTCGGTCAGCACTGGGGGCCGTGTGGGGCGCATGTCCCAGACCCAGACTTGGAGCCAAAGTGAGGACATGGCTCAAGGGAAGCCAAATTCAGTACTTGTCACAGGAAATTGTCTGTCTGTCTGTCTTGGTGCCAGAAAGCCCTCATGGCTTTTAAATGAGTGTGAAGAGGGATCCTCCAGACTCTTAAGGTGAAAGCATTAGAAGACTCGTGTTGTTCCTAAAAGAAGGCCTGAACGGTGGCCAGCCGGCATCTGGAGTGAAGAAGCCCGAGGAGGCGGGGTGCGGTGCCTGTCTGCCACGACGGTGCCTGATGCCAGGACACACACAGCCCCTCCCTGAGCGGGGCCGAGGGCCTCACACCACCCTCCAGCCTCGAGGCTGGGCCTGCCCGTCCTCAACAGACCCTGAGCGGCCTCTGGAGATGCTCAGGGCAGCCAAGGACGTGCTCTCTGTGCTTGGTGCTCCGAGCCATCGTCTCCCTGCTGGTCCCGACAGCCCCTCGGCCGTGGCCTCGCAGCCCCTCCCTCGCTGCTCTGGCGTGCACCAGGGTCCTCGGCTCTGGGAAAGACGGGAAGGGCCTCTAGGGGGGACCACAGCGCGCTTTCGTGTCTGCGAGGCTTACACAGGTCATCCCTTGCCCTTCCAGCCCGGACGATCGCTGTTTGCTCCATATGCTGTGTGGCAGACAGGCTGAATGCCAATGTTTTGACATCTGTTTCTGGAAATCTGACTTAAGAGAATACAAGGTATAAGCTGTGCCTGTGTCCAGCGGCTTCAGTCACTGCAGGGAGTGTCCGCCCGGTCAGTTCAGCGCGTCCCTACTGCTGGTCTAGGGACCCTGCCCCTGCCCCAGTGGTTCTCACCCAGGGGTGGTTCTGTCGCCCAGGGGACGTTGGGCAAGGTCTGAGACATTTGGGGGTTGCTACTGGCCTCTCATGGGTAGAAGGCCGACAGCACACAGGATGGCCCACGGCAGAGAAGCGTCCTCCAACAGGTCGGTGGTCCGAGGGCGAGGTCACTTGCCCATGGGAGGGCGGGGTGAGCGGAGCCCTTGCCTCCCATCCCCATCGCTCTGGGCCTGGGGAGTGCTGCCACCCCACACGGTGGCTCCTGGCCCGTGGCTATCTGTGGCACAGGAAAGGTGACTCACGGTTGACAGGGCCAGGCCCCGGACATTCTAGGTCAGGGTTGTTAGCCTCCTCACCCAGCACAGCCCCTGGTGCCTGACCCCTTCAGTCCATAGGCTGGACCCACTGTCCTCCTCCCCCCTCGCTGTCCTTGCCCCCTGTGTCCTCCCTCCCCCATGTCCTCCCTGTCCCCACCCCCCTACACCGGCCGTGGTCTGAGCACTGGGCTCCACCCCGAGAATGTGATTCATCTCCACGTGTTCTGGGGCCTCCTGAGGCAGAGGTCAGCTGGGGCGGGTGCCCGAGGCCGCTGTGAGCAGGGCCACCAGGAGGGGAGGGCACCTGTCACACCCGACTGGGGTTTTCCTAGGCAGGGACCAGGCTGTGAGGGGGAGTGGTCGCCCAAAAGGCAGTGGGGCCTGCGCTCCGAGAGGCCGTGGGTGACTGGGGAAGCTGAGGGCTAAATGGAGGAGCAGGTTCTCAGAGAGCAGTCGCCACACGTGTGCTTCAAAATGTCCCAGATGCATGGACCCACGGGCAGGAGACAAGGGGACAGTGAAGACTCCTGCTCTCTGCAGCTCCAGGGAGGATTCCACTCCGCCCACCGTCACCATCTCCCTGAACCACCATGAGGGGACAGCAGCAAACACTGTGATTCAGCAAATGCCACCCAAGAAGGGTGCTGGGCCCAGGACCCCCGGGACCCAACAGTGAGGGCCTGTGTGCGGTGTCTGCCGTTACAGGCCAGGCAGGGGCTGGGGACACACCCGCTGCCGAGGCCATGAGCCCCTGTGAGGGTCCTGGGCAGCCTGGAGCAACAGAAATCCATCTCCCACAGTCTGGGGGCTCGAGGGCCAAGGTCAAGGTGTCACAGGGCTGGTTCCCTCTGAGGCTCTGGGGGAGGACCCTTCTGTGTCTTCTGCAGCTTCCGGTGGCTCCAAGTGGCCTTTGGCGTGGGGCCACATGCCTCAGTCTCTGTGCTGTCCTCGTCGTGTCTGTGTCCTCTCCTCCTCTTACAAAGACACCAGTCATTGCGGTCAGGGCCCACCCTGACCCAGGGTGGCCTCATCTTAACTAACGACATCTGCAGGGAACCTATTTCTAAATAAGGCCACATTCGGAGTTTCTAGGACATGAATCGGGGGGGGGGGGACACTCTTCAACCCACCACAGCTGCCACTGCCACACAGAGGAGAGAGGGAGTGGAGAAACGGGGAGGGGACTGGGAGATGGTTCAGGGAGGGCAGGGCCCGGAGGCAGGCTACAGCCTGGCTGAGGCCCGGACACAAATACAGGGTGTGCTTGCAGGCCCTGTGCGCACCTGCCAGGTTCTTTGCCCTGGTGGTGACCAGCACAGACACGGCCCTGTTCTCGCCTCCACTACAGGGGACACCCACCACGTGCTGGGCCCAGCGGGTGAACCCAGCCACACCCCTGCTGGTCAGGGCCTGCTCCTGCGGGGGCATCACAACGGGAGACCACGGTTCCCAGTGCACCGGGCACTGGCCCTGGCGCCCCGCGTCAGCCTCACCGTGACCCCGGCTGCCCTGCTCTTAGCCGGTCTCTGACAGGTGGGAATTAGGTGGGGCTGCAGTCAACATCCGAGCCCTTGAGGGTGACGACAGAAGGCAGGTTCTCCCCGCCAGCTAGCGCCGCAGCCTTGGGAGGGGGCAGCCCCAGGCCACCTCAGGCCCACACCTTCCTCTGGGCCTTCCTTGGGGCCCACGCCCCCTCCCCGCTGGGTCAGACTCCTTCAGGTGCATGGGCAGCCCCCCAGGGACGTGCCCTCTGGACGTGGCCCTCCTGCAGGAGGTGCTGAGAAACCAAGTCTTTGGTCTCGGGGAAACCGGGCGTGGCCTGGCTGAGGCTGGAAGGAGCCGTGGGTGGAGGGCAAGGCCGGACGGATGGAGGAGTCCTTAGAAAGAGAGATGGCCAGACCTGGAGGTGTGATGAGGAGGATGCAGCACATGGCCAGGGTTGCTGGGGAGGGGGCCCAGGAGAGCAACAGGGTTCAGGCCCAGGAATTGCCAGGCTCCGGAGGACCGAGGTCCAGCAAATCCTTTTTAACCCCAAACATCAGCCACTGTGTCCTCAGTGGTCCCCGCCCCTCCCCATCAGCCAGGCCTGGGCGTCACCGCAAACCCACTGCCCTGCAGGGCCCGGGGCCCGCAGGCAGGGAGCAGGGCTCCATGGAGACTGCCAGTCTCCTCAGCCTAGAAGGACGAGTCGCTGATTAAGATTTCACTCCAGACTCCAGAAGCAAGAAGCTCTAGAGCCACACTTTAGATTTTAGGGGGGAAAATTTACTTAAAAAAAAAATCTCTTCTTAAAAAAAAGGAGGTGAGAAATTGTAGAGCCTGGATCTAACCCATTCTCTCACTTGACTGAGTGAAGCGTGGCGCTCGGAGGAGAGCCCTGGCACTCTCAAATGTCTCAGGGGACAGGCCTGGCCCTGAAGAGGCAGCCAGGGTCCTATGTAGCCCGACTTCCCAGATACAGTGATTCCTTCTCTGAAAGTGGTGCGATCTGCGTAAGGGGCCCCGGGACACAGCAGCAGCTGAGAGGCCCCCTCGCCTCTCGCCAGCAAGTGTGACAAGCAGGACGGGGCGGGCTGCCACCACCCTCCCCTCAGGAAGGCATGGGTCCTCCGACTCTGTTCAACTGTGCCCAGGAACCTGCCCAGGAAAGATGGTAGGGACTTTCCGCGTCTGCCCTCGACCCCTGGACACACTGGGGCTGTTTGCACAAGGGTGTTCAGCATCTCAGACTTCCAGAAAAGTGTTCCTTTTATTCCTTTGTCTGCAGTCACAATCCTGGACCCTCTGCTTTTGTTTCGTAACTGATTGGGCTTTGCGTTCATCTTCCAATAAAAACTCC